GAAGGTAAACAAGCCTGATTCCCCAAACACGGTCACCCCAGAGGGCAGGGCCCCTGCCTGGCGTGTTCACCTTTAGCCCAGCGGAGGGTCTCCAGGGACAGTTGCTAAAAGAATGCATTTGGAGGGGGTTTCTGCCCACACGTTGCCCTGGGTGAGCAGCGGCTACCGGAGGAGGGGGATGTCCCCTGTGGTTTTAAGTGCTAGGATGGCTGTACCCGCCCCCTCCCTTGAGTGACTAGTGAGAGGGGGGTGTCAACCCAGCAAATTAGTTTTCTCCAGGGAACGTAATCCCCCTCGTTGGTTTTTTAGGGAGTGTGCCATTTAGGCAATGAAAATTCAAGGGGCTGCACTTCCCTGTGACTAGGTTTTTAGGGAGTGTAACCTCCGTGTGGCGAAAGCAAAGAGTAATGAGTGACGTCCCCCCACGACGATCGGGGAACAGGGTATGTATAACCCCCAAGTTACGAGCGGCTGGGAGATCACGTGTCTCAAGAGGTGATAACTATGCAGGCTCTGCACCTCAAGGCGGTGGGTGACGAGGGGCATGGACCCTCCAAGGGGACGAGTGGCTGAGGTGCAGACTCCTCTCAGTTCTCATGGATGCCGGGACAGGGGATCTCCTATTGACGACGGATCAAGAGTGGTGGGTTCCCAAGGTGTTTACCAAGTCACTCCTCTTAGCGAGGAGTATTTGGGGGCAGGGTACCCGAAGGTGGCTTATTTCTCTCTCCTGGATGGTAAATGATGAAGAATGTCTCCCCACTGAGTGATGAGGGATTTGGAAACACTGCACCCTCTCTGGATAACTTAGGCGAGGCCAGAGGTGGGGGGAACATGCTAGTCTGTATACAAACATGTGGGCAGCTGGCCGTGCCGGCAAGCAGGCACCCTACAAGGGAAGAGGGCGCCTGGAGCAAGTATCCACCTGCCCAATATCCAGAGGAGCACGTTGTTATCGTGTCTCTCTCAAATAGTCTCATTTGCTCAGCTGGGTGAAGTGAAGTTTAAAAATAGACAAAAGAGGGGCGTCTGGGTGGCTTGGTCAGTTAAGCAATGCGACTTCGGCTCCGGTCATATCTCACAGTTCGTGGGTTCAAGCCCCGCTTTGGGCTGCCTGCTGTCAGCACAAAGCTTGCTTTGGATCCTCTGTCTCCCCTGCTCTCCGCCCCTCCCCCGCTCATACTCTGTCTCTCAAAAATAAACATTAAAAAAAAATTTTTTTTAATAGCCAAAAGAGGGGCGCCTGGGTGGCTCAGTTGGTTGTGTCTGAGTCTCGATTTTGGCTCAGGTCATGATCTCGCAGTTTGTGGGATTGAGCCCCATGTCAGGCTCCACTCCAGTAGCACACAGCCCACTTGGGATTCTCTCTCCTACTCCCCTGACCCTCCCCCCACCCCCCCACCAACCAGCTTGTGCATGCACACATGTGCACTCTCTCTCTCTCTCAAAATAAATAAACTTAAAAAAAAAAAAAAAATAGTCCAGAGTGGCACCTGGGTGGCTCAATCAGTTAAGCATCCAACTCTTGATTTCAGCTCAGGTCATGATTTTACGGTCTGAGCTTGAGCCCTGCATCAGGCTGTCTGCTGTCAGCACAGAGCCCACTTCGGATCCTCTGTCTCCCTCTCTTCCTGCCCCTACTTGTGCCCTCTCCCAAAATAAATAAACATTAGGGGTGCCTGGGTGGCTCAGTTGGTTAAGCGTCCGACTTCAGCTCAGGTCATGATCTCACAGTCCGTGAGTTCGAGCCCCGCCTCGGGCTCTGTGCCGACAGCTCGGAGCCTGGAGCCTGTTTCGGGTTCTGTGCCTCCCTCCCTCTCTGCCCCTCCCCTGCTCATGCTCTGTCTCTATCTCTCAGCAATAAATAAATGTTAAAAATAATAATAATAAAATAAACAAATACACACAAAAAAAGAAAAAGATTCTCTCTCCCCCTCTCCTCCATTGGCTCTCTCTCCCTAAAACAGATTTTAGAAAAAAAAAAAAAAAAAAAGTCCAAAGGCAGACCTGTGCTCGACAACCAGCTGAGCAGTTGGAGCTGCCCGACCGCGGGAAGGCCTGACCATGCCGACTTCAGACTTGGGGCCAAGTCCCCTGCTGGGCTGCTCCAGTCTCTGTGGCTTTAAACGCTGCTCCAAATGCCCAGATGTGCCCTCCCGCTCTCCCAACTCACATGTCCAACTGCTCACCTACCATCTCCTCCAGGATGTCTAATATAAGACGTCCCAAACTGAACTCCCAAATACTCCATCCATGTGGCCCTGGCACCCCTCAACATCCAATCATTAACCGACCCTATGGGCTCCGCTCCAAACACACTAGAATCCACCCACGTCTCATAACGCTGTTTGCTCCATGCAATCATCACTCGCCTGGACCACAGCCGACGCCTCCACCCTGCACACCCTTCATCTGCCCTTGACCCCACAGTCTGTCTCCTGACAGTGCCTGGATCACTTTATAACTCCCCTGTTAAAAAAGTTTTTAATTTTTTAAATGTTTATTTATTTCTGAGAGAGAGGAGAGCAAGAGAGCGAGACAGAGCATGAGTGGGGGAGGGCGGAGAGAGAGAGGGAGACACAGAATCCAAAACAGGCTCCAGGCTCTGAGCTGTCGGCACAGAGCCCAACTTGGGGCTCAAACTTGGGAACAGCGAGATCGTGACCTGAGCTAAAGTTGGACACTCAACCCACTGAGGCATGCAGGGCCCCCCACCGATTTAAAACTCTTTAATGGCTTCAATGTTTGTGTTCCACCCCAAAATGCAGATGTTGAAACCTCCCCCTCAGTGGGATGGTAGGGGGAGGTGGGGCCTCGGGGAGGGGATTAGGTCACAAGGGTGGAGCCCTTGTGAGTGAGATTAGTGCCCCTACAAGAGAGGCCCAGAGAGCTCCCTCACCCTTTCCGCCATGTGAGGGCAGTGAAAAGACAGCCATCTATGAAGCAGGAGGAAGGCCCGCACTGGACCGAAAATCTGCTGGTGCCTTGATCTTGGACTTCCCAGCCTTCAGAATTGTGAGAAATAAACCTGTGTCGCTTATACGCCACCCAGGCTAGGGTGTTCTGTGAAGGCAGCGCCCGTGGACAGAGGTGGCTTCCAAATACCATCTGTAGGAGGCAGCCCCCTCCCTGGCCCAGTTAACTCGAGGCCAAAAATGCCTGTCAGTGGGCACAACTTGTACATGTTCTCCTTTCACAAGGCCTGGGAAGGTGCAGTTAGGCATCCAAGTCTGCCTCACAGGGATGCACCTAGCAGCTCAGCCCGGGCCTCAGCACATCATTGGATCTCCGCTCCAGGAGAGGTGAGGAAACCAAGCCTCAGTTACTACTATCACAAAGGGGAACTGTTACAACCCAGTGCAGGATCCCCTTGTCACACTCACAAGGGAGACTTACCTGATTCCAGGTAGCGAAGTTGACTTTATCCGCTGCATTGAAGGCCATGATGTTGTATTTTTTAGTTGTGTTTCTGGACCGGGCAAGAAGGGGCAGTGCTCAGTTACTCGTTCATTTAGCAAACCCTCCCGGGCTCAGCAGTGCTGGGGACCCACCAAAGACCCCAGGGGTTCCCAGTCTGTCAGGGAACAGATCCATGGCCTCCCAACCCCGTGCGGAAGAAAAGCAGAAGGAGGCACAGAGATCTGGGGGAACCAACACGTGGGAATAATAAGGAAGTCCGCCCTGGGGATGGGGGAGGGCAGGCAGGGAATGCTTCCTGGGGGAGGAAAGTCCTGGAACTGGGTTTTAGGGAACCAACAAGAATCCACCCCACAGAGTCACAAGCGGGGAAGAGGCATTCCTGCCAGAGGGAATGCTAGGCCAGAAGGCTGCATCCTGCCGCCTATTGAAGCACTCATTCATTCGTTCTGCTCCAAACACAGTGATGCCCCCAGAGAGGCCTCGGCTGAACTCCAGCCCCGTCCTCAGGTCCCCCTGCTCGTCAGAGCGAGAAGCACAGGCGGTGCCAGCCATGTCTACGAGGTCAGGGAGGTATAGAACCCCTTTCGGGAGGAAGTGGGAAGAGGGGTCAGGGACTTACTTGGGAACGCGAACGACATACTCGGTGACGTTCTGGCTGCCGGGGCCCTGCGGGCAGAGAAGGCGGGACGGTGAGTGCGGGGCTGCGGAGGCCGCCGCAGGGACCCCCCCCCAACTCCGCCGCATACTCACGAGGGCCGCCATGGGCGACGACGTTCGGTGGTTCGGGTCCGGTCCGGTCCGGTCCGCGTCCCTCAGTCGCGGGGAAGCCGCTCTCGCGGTGCCGGGTCTCTGGCCCCGACCGAGGACCCCAAGGCCGAGGTGCCACCGATCCTGGGAGCAACTACCGGGAAGCCGTGCTCGCTCGGCCGGCTCGGCGACCACTCCGGTCACGTCTGCGCCTGCGCCTAACCTGGAAGAGAAACTCGGGGTGCGTCGCGATGGCAACCTCCTCCGCGTCACGTATTTCCCCTCGACTCTTTCTAGAGGGAGGAGCCACGGCCGACCCGCAGCTGGAGGAAGCGCCGTCTACCGCCCGGACCCGCGCTCGCGGCTCTATATAGCGCTGTTAATTTAATCGGCCCGGTGGACACGCCTCCCCGTGACGACACACTCCGCGGGGCATCCTGGGAGGGGAGGGAGGAACTGGCCTTCCTCGAGCTCGCGCGCGCCTCGCGCATGCGCCACTCCGCTCCGGAAGTGCGCCCAAGGAGGCCGCGTCACCATAGCGACCGAGGTCTCTTTTGCGGCTAGCTGCCACGGCTCCACCTGAGCCTCTTTAGGGTCATTTCCTCCTTCTGCCCCTGGGAGACCTCATCATCTCGCCAAACGATCGGGCCCTTGTGACGCTGAGCCGAGCCAGGAGGCGTCAGAGCCTGGGTGGGGGTGGGGCGCGACCACTCCACGGGCCGCTGGCGGGATGGGTCTGTGCAAGTCCAAGCTGCCCCACAAGGGCAGGGCCTTGAGATCCAGGAGAAGGGTAACATCGCGGGGGGCGGGGAGGGGCTGGATCACTGGGGGGAAGTAAGGAGGCTATGAAGGGCATGAGGGAGGTACATACAGGTGCCCCACACCCCAAGTTCAGGTGTGCGCACGACCCCCACCCACCCGTGGTGGTAACACAACCGCACATGCTCAAGGATCAGCCCTTCTTTGATCCACTTAAGCACCTGCTGCTGTGCCAGGTTCTGGGCACTCCACGGTGAATGTGTCAAACTAGCTCCCTGGCCTCCTGGAGATTACAGCGTAGTGAAGGAGGCGGTCTCAGAAAATGGGATCTACGAGCAGGAGGGGACAGGGCTGCCACAGGGAAAGAGGCGCCCGCTCTGAGGGCTCCGGGAAGAGGGGAGGTTTATGCTCCGCCCCGTGGAATGCCTAGGAATTCGCTAAGCAAAGGCGGAAGGAAGCAAGACAGCAAAGTTGCGCTATAAACTACCACACTCCACAGACATGCCTGGTAGCCATGGGCGTGCATTTACCCATCGCCCACTACTGTATGTCAGGAACCGTGCCAACTATTAGAAATATTGGGACCAGCAAGACAGAAACAGTCCTTGCCCTCATGGAGTAGAGTCTGGCTGGGGAGAGAAGCAAGAGCAAGTAAACAGGCGAAATCGTTACTAATCGTGGCTGTTGCTGTGGAAGAAATGGGGCTCTGAGATGGAACGATGGGGTGGGAGGCTCTTAGAGAGAGTCTGACAGGTCGGCTGTGACCTGAAGGAAGAGGAGCAGGGACTTAACTGCAGCAGGGAGGAGGCGGGGCACAGGACAGCAGGAGAAGGATAAGTTTGGCAAGTTCAAGGGACAGAAGAGGCCCCTGGGGCTGGACCAGGGTGAAGGATGAGGAGGGTGGTGTGGGATAAGTCTGGGGGATGGGCGAGTCCCCGCCCCACTCTGAGCCTGTTTCCTCAAGTGTAAAATGGGATAGTAGAGTCACTGAGATTCTTCAAGGAGACGCTGTGTGCAGAAGGCCTGGCCTGCTCAAGTTCACATCCTCCCGGCTACCTGTAACAGAACTAATGATGCCATGCCTGAGTGTACCATTGGGCATGGATGTGCACCCCCAGATGCCACCCTAGGGCATAGCAAAGTGGGTATTCCAGGAGACCTGTGTCCGGTGTCACTTACCCAAGGACACACACTAAGCTGTGGACACAGTCACCCCAGCGTGTGTTGGCTCCTGTAGGCATCAAACCCTCTCCCCACCTCCTCCCTGGGCCCCCCAGACATCCTCAAGTCCGCTCTGATCGTCTTCGTGATGGGTGGCCCAGGTTGTGGCAAAGGGACACAGTGCAAGAACGTGGCGACCAAATATGGCTTTTGCCACGTTGGACTGGGCCAGCTGCTGATGCAAGAGGGCCAATGCAGTACCCAGTGGGGCTGGGAGGCCCGTGACATCATGCTGCAGGGGCTCCTGGTGCCCACGGTAAAAGCTCACAGGCACAGGGGCAGAGGGAAGAAGGAGGTACCTTCCCTGGAAACCCTGTGGGAGCAGATAGGCCCAGAAGGTTCTGGCTCCCGGGCTGGCCACAGCTTTGCTGCACTGAGCCTCTGTGTCCTCACCTGTAAGATGGGAGACCAGCTGGCATCTGTAGGGACAGTTGGCTGACGTCATTCTCATAAAGCACTTGGCGGAGTGCCTGACATTTAACAAACAGTAAAGTTAGCTCGTATTTATTCCTTTTGTGACCTTGGGCATGTATATCAACTGGCCCCTCCTGTGCCCGTTCCCTCACCTGGAAAATGAAGGTCACCCCTGTATCTACCCGTAAGAAGGTAGTGATAAATGAATGAGACCTCGCGAGCCTGGCACACGGCAGCCACCAGCCCCTGTAGATGGCCTCAGTGCATCCGAGTGGCCCTGGGGCACCAGGGCAGACCTAGAACCCCGGGCACTGGCCAGGGCAAGGGCTCTTCTGAATTCACCAGAAGCCCAGGCCAAGGGAGAAAACTTGACGAAGTGGCCACGTGGGGGTGGGGGGTGGGGGAGCCTGGGGCACCAAACCCAACACCCCTTTCCTTCCCAGGGCATCATCACAGACCTGAGCAGCAACACCATGCTGTCGTGCCAGGAGAGCTGGGCCTTCCTCACCGACGGCTTCCCTTGGAAGCTGAAGCAGGCCAAGGAGTTGGAGCGCATTGTGAGTGACCCCAGGGTGTGTGAGAATGTGGTGAAGTGTGGAGCTACTCTCCCTCCCCACCTTGGGTGGAGATCGGAAGGGATAAGACTGGGGAGAGCAGAAGGCGGCGGCGGGAGGGGGGGGTGTGGACTGGAGTTTTAGATTTTCAAGGGACAGTCAGAAGACTGTTGGAAGCTTCTAGCCACTGTTGGTGGCTAGCCGCCGAGCTCTCTGAGGGCAGGGACAAAGTCATACTGATCTTTTCCTGCACACGGATCATTTGCCCCCTGAGTAGCACATGGGTTTAGCATCATCCCTGGGCCATAAAGATGGAGTGTAGTTATTTGCTCCTCTACTTATTCAGCCACCTGTCCCCAAATGGTTTGAGAACAGACCCTGTCCTTAGGCGTTCACGAGACAGACTCAATCCCTGCCGGTAGACAGACACTGACCAATACGTGACTTGCCGAATGAAGCTGAGACGTCTCTGGCAGCAGGGAAGGCAGCAGAGAGCAGAAGACAGAATGACGTCCCGGAGGGACGCAAGCGGGCTGTTAGAGTTGGGTGGCCCTGGTGGCCTCCTCAAAGCGAGGACGTGGGACAACTGAGCAGCGAGAAGAGGAGCCAGCCCGCGTTGGCAAGTCACACTCGGTCTTCAGGTTACTTCTGCCGGCAGCGCTGACTTCCTGGAAAGGCCCACCCAGGCACCTGAACAGCCGTGGCTGGAGAGTCCGGAAATGGCCGAGCAGGACAAGAGGAACTGTGGTGGGTTGTCAGGCCCCGGGCTTTTCTGGAACTTGCCAGATGCAGTTGAAATGCCTTCAGAGAAGCGCAGGCGGGAATCAAACCGACGTCACCACCGAGGGCTGGGGCCGCTATCCTCGTGGGCAGGTGGGGCCCTGCCTTCTGTTAGCAACTGCACGGGAGCAGTCCTGTCGGGCTCCTGGCAGTGACTTCCAGGGCAATGGAATGGGTTCCCTCTCCTGGTCTGGGAGCTCTGAGGGCAAAAGCCGAGCTAATGAATTTCTCTGTCCTCAGCAGCCCCGGGCCAGCGGTTTGGACCCTATGGCATTAAAAAAAAATTTTTTTTAAGCTTATTTTTTTGAGAGAGTGACCAAGCCGGGAGGGGCAGAGAAAGAGCGAGAGAGAATCTCAAGCAGGCTCTCAGCTGCCAAGCACAGAGCCCAACGTGGGGCTCGAACCCACGAACTGTGAAATCCTGACCTGAGCTGAAATCAAGAGGCGGGGGCTTGGCCGGCTAAGCCACCCCAGCGTCCCATCCCTACAGCATTTTTAAGAGTTTTTTTCTGCAGCAGTGGCCACCCTTCAAATATCGAGAGAGGCCACGTCAAAACTCCCGGCTTCCCTTGAAAAGGGCCTGACTTGGCAACGTGGGGCCTGCATGTCCCCATGGCAACAGCAGCATGAATGCATCTCGAGCTTTTTCCTGAGCCCAGGGCTGTTCTTGACACTACACGGTGAGCTCTGAGCTTTCGGAACATTCCAGAAAAGCATTTCTTGCACCGTAAGCATCCTGCTTTTTCACAGAGGGATCGGGCAACTTGCCTGGGTCACACAGTTGGTCTCGAGGCCTAGATGTTAACCATGTCAGCAGGGGTTCCCTCTCTGCTTCCCCCCCGACCAGGGTCCCCCCTACTCCCACGGAGGGTTGCCCCTCCATCATGGAGGCCGAGCGCCACCTGCCATTAGGATCCTGCTCGCGTTGTGGTTTTATGCTAAGAGGAACAGAACACATGCCTTCCTCGTACCCACGTGGCTGCCAGAAGTGAGGAAACAAACAGGCCTGGGTTATGAGAGTGGATTTTCACTGCGGAGAATTTTCTAGATCTCTGTGAGCTGCCGGCCCCATGTTGGCCTTTGAGGACCCCGTAGGCCCCTGCCTTGGGTCTGTCCAGGTATCCCTGGAGGCCACCAACTTGGCCCTTCAACCTGGACCCTGCCAGGCCTGAACGTTTTAGCTCCACCTGTGATGTGAGTCAGTGCAATGGGTCTGGCTTGAAGCCAGCACTCCAGAAGTCTGGGGATCCTTCTCTTTGCCATTCCTGTTCTCCCTCTCTGCACATTCAAAACACCGCTGGGGGGTTTCTCAGGGCCAAGGTGGTGAAATTCACAGGAAGCCAAGGTGAAATGACATCTTCTAGGGAGATCAATGCCCCCATTTTACAGACAGGGAAATCGAGGCCCATGGAGGGCAGGTTACTTGAGGTTGGCTCCTGCCCCTTAGGAGGCTGGCCAGCCTAGTTCAGACACTGGCTTTGGAGCCAAGGAGACTGGCACTCAGGTCACGCTCGGTCACTTTCTCCACCTGTCTGTAATCTGCACAAGACCTGGCTTCCCGAGCCTCAGGTCTATCATCTGTGAATGTGGACAGAAATGCTACAAGCCTCTTTTCCATGTGGGGAAGGTGGGGAAGGCTTCCTCCTGGGACGGTTTCCCGTCTGTTTCCAAGATTGCTTCAGTCACCTGTGCACCTGTCCGAGAACACAAGCCGCGGGGAGCCGAGGCCCGTGGTGGGTGGCCTGTGGCCTGTGAACACATGGCGACTCCCTGCCAGGCCGCACTCTGCACAAGGGGCAGTGAGGAGGACCAGATAACACATGTGCAGCCTAGATTATCATAATCTGGTTGGATTTCGTTGGAGCATCCGTGAACCGTCTCCCTGAAAC